TTAGAAATTTCTTTGGATATCTGCAGACAGATAATAAAAATACAATTACACTTACCGATAATGGCAATACGGTGCCTCCCCACAATCTAATACACCACGATTCTCACCATAAACACCTCCAACGAAACCCTCTAGAGCATAACGTAGTTATGTGACTGCCCCATTTCAAATAACTGGGTAAATCGCGTAAGTAACACCGAAACCAGCAAACATCATCATAGGAATATGATGATGTCACGCAAACCTTCCAGGATGTATTGTTACAATATTTATAATTAGTCCAGTATCAACGGATGGAACTGAGACCGAAGAGAAATTTACGGGTCGTCAAATATTTTAAAATTCAATTCTTCCTCTTGCTCACACAATTTACGAGTCTTCAAACATTTAAAAGATTGAATTCTTGCTCTAAGGTAAATATATTATTCTATATTTCGCATTTTTCGAACGCATATCATCTATCAATCAAACGCATTAGTCTTTGTTGCAAAACCGGATTTTAAATTAATAATCGATGAAATGGAAAATAGGGATGAATGATGAGTGGCATAAATTTTGCAATAAAAGGTCTGCGGATGCTTCAAGCTTTTTTTAAATTTATCAATTTACAGAAACTATCTTATCTATGGCTTCGGTTGATAACCGGTATATTTAATAAATGTACATCAATAGTGAAAAAATATTCTATTCTATCGCTTCGATATTGCCACAAAATACAGACTCGCTTTTCAAATATTTCCTCAATTGTCAATAAGTATATATGGGAACCTTATATTAAAGGTAAGTTCATTTTAAATGTTTTTTTTCGCCCTTCGGTCTACTTCGATAATAAAATATATGTTTTTGAAAATGCATTTATACACCATATAGATGATGCTGAATGTGAACTGAATTGTAAACCAATTGGCATGAAATATTTTGCTACTTTAAACAATACTGTCATAGATGGCACAATGTGCTTTCGCCCGGCTGAATATTATCGGTATAATTATCAAGAAGGAGCTGTATGTGTCAATGGGATATGTAAGGTAAGTGAAGAAAGGCTTGGTTTATTTCCGCATTATTCGGCTATTGGACTCAGTGGTGATGAATACCAATAACTAAATTACGGAAGTATGAAATCGAAATTAAAAATACCATCGTTTATAATTCTTATAGTATATGTCATATTTTTTTAATGACTTATAAAGCCTTTTTAAAAGCTATAATTTGTTAAAAATTCTTTTAGCTGCGGCGATGCGCATCGACGTGGTTGTTAGTTTTGGTAAGTTTTTTTTATAAAATTGTTTAATAACCATTGTTCATTTTGAAAATTTTGTTTTGTAATATTGAAATAATTCATTATAACACCTTCTTTGAAGAAATAAAAAAAAGGAAATGTATTAAATGTTAAAATACTGGTAACACTTCCTGAGGGTATCGGAGGGGCGAGGGAAAAGTAGTATGGTTAGGGCATAGATTTATATAAGTCAAAAATTTGAAAATTTTTAGTAAGCATGTTTTAATTGAAATAATGAAATATTGTAGCGAAACAAGAACCTATCATGCATCTGAATACATTTTATTTGGACACATCCCATCCGACGAGCCAGTCCGGAAAACATGCGAATAAAAAAAAAAAAAGAGAAAAAATAAACAATTACATCCGTGCATAGCTCCAATTTCCAAAACGTTACAGGTTCCGGTGTTAGTGCTTGCAGGTAGCACACCATTAATCCTGACAGTCGATGCAAATGCCTCTGTGCTCGGTAAGATACTAGAACGTGGGTCTGGTCTTCGCAATCAGCTAAGGGGGCACGTTTTGTCCGGATGGTGTGCATCACGAAATGTCCATGTTTTGAATGAGCCTAGCCAATGGTTCACGTTTGACGATCCAGTTGGTGCTAGTGACATTGATATTATTATCGCAAACGGTGTTGCTAAGGGAGTGTTTGATTTCTCTTGGAAGGTCAAAAGTGGTTGGGGGTTAGTAACCACCAAATTATTAAAGTGGAGGCCAGTGGAGGGGTGAATTGGGTTACCTACGGGGTCCATATTAGGGAAGCGGTGACAGCCGTATCGCTTGACGATTTTGGTAGCAGATCGTTGGATGAGCAGGTGGAATATATTTCCCGGTCCGTTTTTGGCGTCAACGACTTGCTCCTTGAGAAATGTCGCAAGGCAAATCAACAGGGGATCAAGTGGTGGATGATCGCTCTCTCCGCGAAACGTAGAGCCGTACGTCGCCTTAGGCGGAATTTTCAGAGTACGAGGCGGTCCGATATTGCGGATGCTGCCCAACACAGAATCGATTTAAGCCAATGCCTTTATCGGCACAAATGCATGCTTCTAAAAGCGAAGGAAGATGACTGGAAGGCTTTTGCCTCTCGAAACCGAAATGACCCTTGGGGTTAGCTTTCTCGGATATCCAGAGGCAAAAAATCAATGGAACACAGTACTTACCACCCGGAGGGAGTATCTGGGCGTTTTATTGGGCAGCTTCTTGCAGGGTTGGACGAGGTTGTGCCTTCTGAACATCGGATAGCATATTCTCCGCTGCCCTTGGAAAAATATGAAATTAGATTTCAGTTCGCTAATACCAAAGCGAAAAGGTCGCCAGGTTTGGATGAAATAACGGGTGAGATGGTAAGAGCCCTTTGGAAAGTTATTCCTGACTACCTCTTTAAGATGCACAGTCAATGCCTAGCAGATGACTATTTTCCAGCCCAGTAGAAAGTGTTCAGGGTGGTACCGCTCCTGAAGTCGTCTGATAAGTTTAAGAGTGATCCTAGCTCTTATCGGGGCATCAGTTTCCTCCCAGTGCTTGGTAAAGTGCTGGAGAAGATGATGGTAGAAAGGTTTCTGGAGATTCCTAGCCTGAGTCTGTCTAACAAACAGGTTGGGCTCCGACAGGGACTCTCTACCCAGGATGCTTGGCTGCATGTGCAGAAATGCAGATGCTAGTGAAACAAAGTATATGTTAGGGATATTGGTAGATTTCAAGGGTGCGTTTGATTATCTGAGATGGAATAAAGTTCTTGGCAGGCTGAGAGAGGTAAATTGCCAAAAATCGACCTCTGGAGAACTTATTTCTCTCAAATAATAAAATAAATAGTTCTTGGCAGACTGAGAGAGGTAAATTGCCAAAAATCAACCTCTGGACAACTTATTTCTGTCAAAGATGCGCATGTGCTATTGGTACCATTGACATGTTACATAGAGATGTAGTAAGAGGGATTCGGCTGTGGTCCATATATTTGGAACAGAATTGTGGCAAGGGTTTAACGTGGGTTCCTGCCTGAAAGGCTTAACCCCACGGTGGCCCAAGTCACTTTAAGCATACTACGCCCCCTGGCGAGTTAGACAATCCCCACAGAGTAGGGGCCTAAACAGCACCAGAATCCAGAACGGTTTATTGTGTATGAAACAATAAACCCCATTCCAGTCAATGGTGACGCCTAGCTGCACTCAAATTGTTCCATTTTAGCTAGGAACACCATGATGGCTCCTCTGTTAAGGCAGCTAGATGACGTATGCAAGTTTTCTGTTTATGCCGACGATCTGCTCATCCTAGTCGAAGGTCAATCGCGAGCTGTTCTTCAGCAGCTCGGAGAGCGTATAATACACATGGTTACAGAGTGGGGATAAGGTGTTGGTGTGAGTGTGTCACTGGAGGAAACCGTGATGATGCTATTGAAAGGTAGCCTCTCACACGGTCGGCCGCCAGTGATTAGAATGAATGGGGCTAGTCTTAGGTGCAAGACTGTTGTCAAGTAGCTGGGTGTTAGCATAGGTTTTTCCCTCACTTTGCAAGAGTGAGAAATTTATGGACGTTATCCAGGAGCTTTGGATGAAGACTGTCATTTTTTGTATTTTCATTCAGATCTTAAATCCATACGAGATGTTTTCAATATGTCTCCAGAAAGAGCCAATTTAAGCATTGGTAGCACATGGTATGTTGGCCTCAGTAATTGTCACCTTGGAGTTCTTGAAGAATTACGCAAATTATATAGGCGGCCTCACTTTTTAGCCGTAGACGCCGAGTTATCAAATATAAACTATGTCTTTTTCCGTTACGAACAAGGAGCATACATGCATGTAAGATGGCGTCCTTGGTGTTGAAAAATACTTACATCTTTGGGTAAATTTAGAAATGTGTAATAATATTCCTCTAACTCAGTATCGGAATCGGTGTCGTCTCATTTGGATAACTTGCATATAGGGAATTTGTATAGCTGCTTAGTCCGAATTTCTTCTTAACATCCATAGTAGAACTACATTGTTTTCTATTTTATTTATTCTATAAGTTATTTCGAGAAAATTGGAATGAAAAAATACTCAACAACATATTCACGTTATGCAATGCAATGCAAAGCGAAGTATCGATAGGACACACTCTTAAAAGGAGAAACTAAATATTTTCCTAAAAATATGCAGAACGTTGTAGTTGATTAGTGCAAAATGATTGGTACACAAATATAAAATTCATTGAAATTGTAATCACATTTTTCCCTCTCATTTTTAAAAGGGTGTATTAAGAACACTTACTTTAAATGGACTACAGTCAAGTGAAAGTGGAAAAAATACTTTACATGCTTAATTTTAATCGTCCTGCATCCGACAACCGAAGAAAGCTCGAAATTATTCTTTTACTAACAATTAAATTGAAATAATATGTAGTAAAAGTTTGAGACTACTGTGCACCAAATACATTGCACCGACCCAAATTGTGCACTAAATCAATTGGACTGCAACGATTGTATTGTAAAATATGTTTTCAAGCTTCGGCGCCCAAAGTATATATATGTTTGTACATATATATAAATGTAATAATTACAATTTTCGTACGCGTGTCTATAATCGCAAGGGGCACGTCGACAGGGTTACTGGTGCCGATGTAATCACACATAACCTCACTTTACGAACGATCGCTATTCTAAAACCACTGAGTATATTAAATTCTCTTCTTTTTTATTTTATTGGTAAATCATGCTATACTACTCCCTCAGTCTTAAAACTAGGTAATACCTACGTAGCATAAAGATGGTTTTTTTATTTTTGTTTAGTTTCTTGATCAGTAACATAACGCACATAAATAGCTGGACTCGGCATGTTGGCGGGTGGTACTTCTAACTCATCCATATAAGAACAGGCTATAGCTAAAGTACTGCCATCGTAATTAAAATTCAGCGAAGATATTGAAGTATCGTACTCATGAAATTGGCATAGACGTTTCTTATTGAAACCATCCCAAATATTAACGTAACCATCTGATCCTCCTGTCGCAAAAGTGCTGTATACATTGTGAAAACTAATTGCATTAACTGGATAGATATGTTCGGTAGTGCCTTGTTTATTACGATGACATTTGAAAGCAAATTTTAGTTTTTGTACTTCTGGATCGGGATCCAAATATTCGACAGCCACACGACCTTCAATTGAAGACATTACGTAGCCCTCTTTGTTGGGAAACAAGCGAATACAACGTGTTTGGTATTTCAGCGATGACTCACGTTTCATCATATACTCTTCCATTTTACGTAGATCCCATATTAGAACTGTGCGGTCTGAAGTCGCCACTACAATTTTCTCTTCGTTCACCGACATTGAATAAACTTTGCCATTGCATTGCTCATAAGTGCCAACGCAATGTTTTTCACGCATATCCCACAACTTAACGGTCTTATCCCAACTGCCAGTTAGAATGCCATTAACCGATTCAGCGTATTCCACACAACGTATCGGCGCGTCATGATCACCGACTACGTTTTCTGTATGTGTGTTCACATCATATAAACGTAGATTTTTATCCAAGGAGCCACTTACAACATGAACAACATCCTACAATAGAATAAAATTAATGATTTATAATTTTCATACATAAAGTGCAAATTTTACCATAAATGTTACATCTAAGACTGGGTCGTCTTGCATAAACTTATGGCGCATGGTATTGTTTACTACGTCATAAAAACGCACAGTTCCATCCCAAGAAGAGGCTATCAAATATTGATTCGTTTTTGGGCCAAAACGTACGCACGAAATCCAATCTTCAGGGGCATTATTAATTTTCACTTCTGTTGGGCGCATTTTATTATACTTTTCTTTTATTTATTTTTTTTTTTTTGGACTGTTGAGTGGAGATGGGCTAAGCCAAAAGATTTATGGGTTATATGTCCATATAATAAACTGTCGTAATTTACAGAACGCGACAAAAAAAAGCGGCCGTAATTACTGGAGCCGGTATGTTAAGTGCAGTTGTGTTTGTGTGTAATTGTGCTAGTTGAGTTGTTAAAAGTCAAACAGTGTTGCTAATTTTGGCTCCAAACGAAGAAGGATGCTACAGTATTAGAAAATAATTGAACGCAAAAAAAAAAAAATTTCAAACGATAAACTCGCTTTTCTAATAAAGTAAGTTAGTTTCTCGAGATGACGTACATGTTTTGCTGCAAAGAGATCGAGGAAACCATCATATGACTTGAAGAAGCTAAAAGAATCTCTAAGGCCATCAAGTTTGTGACATCTGAAGATTAGATGCTCAGCAGACTCAACAACATTGCAAAATTCACAAACATGACATGGTATAGCGCGAATCATTTTTAAATAAACTTTATCATAAGTGTGACCACTCATGAGTCTATAAAGAATTTTAATTTCCCAGGAATTAAAAGAAGATAAAGAAAACGGTTTGAATTGAAATGTGTGATTTAATTTATAGAAAATACGATAGGATTTTACGCGCGCGACCTCTTTAAATTCGTCGTTTAGCTGTTGAAGGATGTGGCTTTGAATTGCCGGAATTGTTTCATTTGGAATGTAATGGATGGAAAAAATTGTCTCATCAACATGAGCTCTCCCTGCGTGAAAGCCGGCTTTTATATTAAAAAAAAAAACCGCAGTAACATTCATCAACTTGAGATTCGTGTACCGTCCCATGTATGTCAAACACATATATTGATTCTCTGCATCTCTTTTATTATTAGAAGTAGAGGTGACTTGCTATCAGAAAAAATAACAAACCGTTTGATACCATCAGTAATAGCAATATCATAGCTGTTGTTGTAATAAAGAACGATTTTTTCTTGACATAACATTATCACACAAGAGAAATTGACAGAGAGAATTGTCTTCGGTAGAGATCGAGAGAGAGGTATTGAATTTATCGTGTCAAAAATATGACGCAGTTTTTGATAATAGAATGTGTAGCTGCACGGGACAGTATCGCTGAGAGATATAACTTTCTGAAGAAGGGAAGGATTCATTATCTTGACTTTAATCAGCTCCAGAGGAAGCAGAAGAGCTCTTTCGGGAATGGGCCATTGCATTGGGCGGTGGCATTGAGGATATGTTGAGGAGTTGAGGGGTCAGTCCAATATAATGTTTTACCATTCGATTTTGAAATGTTTGTATATATTTTCAATATATTTTGGGAGATTGCAACATGTGCAATGTGCAAAGGCTTGTATACAGCCAAAACTTTTTTGGTAGGCAAGCCTAACTGATTGTTAGGCATGAGGCTTTCTCATTATGTCTACGAAGAGTTAGGCTGTCATTCTTCCAAGATGTCGAAGAGTTTTCATCTGATCAACTTTAGTGCCTTTGATAAAGAGCCTGATTTCACGTTTAGAACCTTTGGCAAAATAAGTAGTATTTGTTTCGAATCATGGTGCGGTTTACCAAACGCAAATTGCAATTAATTCTACAGATGACTACTAATTCTGAATATCAAAAATTTGCCGGGAAGGAGCTTAAACAAACGGTATCTTCTTTTTTTGTGATAATTCTGAAACAATCACTAGAAATTGATAACGTATCCTAAAATTTATACATTTACAACGAAGTTGTCTAATAACTAAAATATGTTACACAAAATTTAACTTGGAGGAATTCTTAGTTTGTTTTACTAAAATCAATAAAGAAATCAAAAAAAAACTCATCTTTCCAAAAATGTTATTACAATTAAAAATCAGTCCTCTTTTTCCAACCCTGTTATTTATGAAATGGTACACACGTGTGTAATTAGTTGTTTACGTCTAATTTTCTTAAATATGCACGCAATATAATATCAGTTTTAGGGAAATATTTAGTTGTTTTTTCAAGAAGAAAGTCATTTTGTGTTTAATAACATTTTATTAATAGCAAGTGGTTTTTTAAAAATGGCGGATATCAAACATAAATCAAAGGATTCCAATACTTTTCGGGTAAGTACATTACAAACATAAGTACAGATACGACATTGAAAAATGTGGGATTGTCTTTCTTTATAGTTCAAGAGCTTTGCGGATCGTGTTAATGAAATCGACTTAAGACGGTTGGCTTTGTATCATATAGGGCACAGTAACGAAGAATTACCGGAAGATAATGAAACATATTTCCATCAAACTTTAAAAAAATGGATGGTCTTAAATCTCACCGAAGAATTTTCTCACTTCGCCCGCAAAGTTTGCAAGATTGTTACTTTGCATCAATTAGTAGATAAAAAAAAGTTCGTGTTGGATACTTTATTAGAACATTTAGCCACCGCAACTTCCTTATCTATGCAACCGTTACTGGAATTATTATATGTTTTGGCTAGAGATTTACGAAAGGAATTCTATCCTTATTTTCAACGTGTGCTAGATCGCCTTATTTGTTTGTTACACACCCAAGACGCTGAGCAACTCGAGTGGACTTTTGTTTGCTTAGCTTATTTATTCAAAGAGCTTAAGCCATATTTAAAACGTCATATTGGTGTGGTATTTAAGAGTATATTGCCTTTGTTGGACGAACAGCGTTATGAGGATTATGTTAACAATTTCGCAGTGGAATGTTTTTCATTTATAGCTCGCGATGTAAAAGATTACAGCCAATTTCTGGATTTTATATTATCTACGTTACAGCGAGAGCAAGTAGAGATCGTGCAGGCCTGTGGTCGCTTGTTATTTGAAATAATGCGCGGTGTTAAAGGACGACTTCATTCTACTGCGGGAGATTTTTTAGAGTTCTTATTCCAACGTTTGATAGATGATCATTTGAAAGATTCAAGAACGGTGGATTTATTAGCGGACATTGTACAACAAGCAGTGGAGAATCTCCTAGGATTTGTCTATCCTCAACATATATCCTTGTTTTGGCTGAAATTATGTGCCGTTGCAGATACTTGCAAGGGAGCTGAAAAACTAAAACATCTTGTACAAATTTTTGAGCAAGGCGCTAAATATCGTGAAGGAAAATTATTAGCTGAAATGGATGTAATAGTGCCAACTATTTTGCGAATGGTAGACAAAGCTAATGCAGATGATGAGGCTGAAGAGACTATGCTTATGTTAATACATTTAATAAGCTCTATCTTAATGTCGGGCTCATCGTTGATGACGCAATTGGATACAAGTCTTTTGATGAAGAAATGCTTAACGATAGAAAAAAGAAAGATTTTTGAAGAATTTTTGCTGCAAACGGCACATCATGTACAGTTTAATATCTTTTCAATGCCAAAGATGATTCAATACTTTGAAAAGCACTTCGATTTAGCTGCTTTTGAATTAATTGCTCAAATAATGTTGAAAACAGAATCTCTACAGTTTAATGCTCTAAAAGTACAAACTTGGAAATCATGGGAGTTAAAAGTGAACGAAGCGGAGACTCTGCAAAAGGTTGAAGATAAACTAAAATTCTTCGAAGAAAGCAAAGATATAACAGAAGAACGTGTTTTGCTGCTCTGTTTTGTATGTCCTCATCTAAAATGCCTTAAACGGGAATCTTTGCAAGACTTTTTGGACAATATTACTGAGGAAGTTATTAATGTTTTGAAAGATGACCAAACCAATTTAAAGTATTTAAATCTTCTAACATTGTTAATGGAGATATGTTATCAACTGAATATACAATTGCAGCCGAACTTAATTTCTGATATACAAAGGATTTTGATGTGCACCATTGGTTCTGACTTAAGAACATTAGGTGCTTTAAATCAAATGTTGGTCGGTTACAAAAAGTGTATAAAAAACTCCTGCGAAATAAAAAAAAAGCTTTCGCCATTGCTTTCTCATCATCAGCAACATATTAGAGCATTAGCCGCTCACTGCTTGTTAACTCTAAGCGAAAATAAAGGCGAAAGGTTGCTAAACGAAATATTCTATAAGGCTTTTTGCATAGAACCTACTGTGCAAAATTACCGAGAACAACTTCTTTTTATCCAAAAACTGGAAACTGAAGGAGAATTATTTAAATCTTTAGATAATGATGAGCACAAAGAAAACATTATACGCTTTTTATTGGGATTAATGTATTATAATTTTAAATTTCTCTGGGAGCCGGTACAGAAATTATTGGAAAGTTATGCTAAAGTAATGGAGCCTAATAAATTTTGGTTGATTTACGTCGAGAAGCTAAAATGTAGTGAAGAACAAATTGGTTATATCAAAGAAAAGGAAGAGAAGCTACTCATCAGTAAGGACTGGAATTCCAAGACTTTAAATACGCTGTTAACATATGGATTAAACGATGCTTCGTTAACCCAACAACAATTGTTAAACTATCGCTTATTACTCTGGCAGCCTTTACCACACTTTGGCAAATTGGTCGAATTGAAAAACCGTGAAGTAGTCTCAATGGTTTTGAAATTTAAACGCGAGGAATATGAAAAGTTCGTGGAAAATAAAGAAAATACCTGGGATTTAAAAGAGCCAACGATTAATATTGAAGACTTCAAAGAAATAGAAACCGAAAATGATAATGAAAAGTCGCACAAATCTTCCTCTTCGAAATTGGTACAAAATTCCTGCCAAGCGAAATTTATATTAAAAACCTTAGTATCTAAATTGCAAGTCTTTATTCATTACAATAATCCACGAGCTTTATATCGCGAAAAGGAGCTTTGGCAGTTTTATATGCACTTATTGAAGGGCTCCAACAGTTTCCTACAAAAAGCAGCCTTGGATTGTATTTTAGCTTATAAGTCGAAAGCTTTATTACCTTATAAAACTGTTTTCTATAATTTTCTTGATGAGAAGAAATTTAAGGACGAGTTGATAAACTTTAAAGTCGATTCTATTGCTTTAGAATACCGCACAGAAGTTATGCCTATCTTATTAAGAATTCTTTACGGGAAAATGATAACCAAAGGTACACAAAAAGGCATGAGCACTCAGCAGCGAAAAGCAGTGATTTTAAGATTTCTGGGCCAATGTACTATAGAAGAAATACAACATTTTTTAGAAATGGCTTTCGTTTTATATCAAGAGTACTTGCAGGACTCGGTCGACATTTTGAATATACCGTCCTTGGTTAAGGAGAACTTCGACATTAGCACGGTATGGTCTCCTAAGAAATTGCAGAGTGCATTAAATTTATGGGATTTGATACGTAAAGAATTTGCCGGATTAATGCAAGAGAAATTTCATTTTTATATGCTTAAGCTATTAGTCTTTGTGGGATGTGTATGTAATGAAGTTTTAAGCGTCGATCCAAGCCAGATGCACAGTAAAATGCCTTTGGTATTTCGGAATGTTAAACAAAACGCTTTGCAGAACTTATTAAACTTTTTTGTACATCTGGAAAAGTTCGAGTGGTCAGATGTTTTGATAAAGCAGCTAACTGATATTTATGTTTATACTTCTTTGGAGAAATTGCCCCAAGACAGCATTCACTCGCCAACGACATTACTAAAACTTTTGTTGCATTGGGGTGACAACGTCAAATATTTTCGATTCCTCAATCAAAGAGCAGCAAAAGATAAAGAGAACATCTTTTTTTATGTCATTCAATTGCTAATGAATAACAAAATTAAAACACCAGTTAAGAAACCTATTATGAGCGTTATCGAATGTATGTTGAGAGCTAGTGAGAATGATATCGAGAATTCAAGGGAAGGCTTAGAACTCATCAAACCGTTCATAGCACAAATTTTAGAAAGAATTAAATTAAACTTTGCGGAACGACGTAATAAACAATCGTTAGATAAGCACGATTTGCATATACTCGCCATGTTAACTAAATACGTGGAAGATACGGAAAATAGCGAACGACTTCTACAGTTATTAATGCCGTTAATGTTAAATAAAAGTCAGAGTCAAGGTAGTGCAGAGGCCGTCCAACAAATCATTACTACCTTAGCTAATCTAGTTAAACGTTTAGCTAACCCTGAATTGTATTTGAAGAAATTAGCCCCTTACTTTGAACAGATACAAGAGGTTTCAGCCCGTAAGCAATTATGTGACCTTGTAGCTGATATAGCCAGAATTAAATATAAGGAAGACCCCTCCTCCGTGGCAAGCGAGCATTTAAAGAATATTGCTAGACTAGTATTGCTCATGAACGCTTGGGATAAACGCTGGTTAGAGCAACCAGACTATGATAAACGGTTGCAAGCTTTTAAAGAAATTACAGAAAAGATTAATTCTGGTCCAGGCGTGGAATTAGATTTGGGTATTATTATTATCTACAATTGTTTCCATTTTCTGCGTTACGATAGAGACATGGGCTTGCGAGATAATGCCGGTGAATTATTAAGACTTTTAATGCCTCATCTCACTATTAAGTGTTCAGAAAATGCTCAAGAATTGAATTACCTCCTCGAAGAAGTCTTTTTTAAACTTATTCAAAGTGTTATACGTTTGGATAATAAAGAAAACGCACGGGAAGAAGGAATACGTCTCCTAGGAGAAATGGTTAGAAAGTGCTCCTGCTTTCATATTGTGCTTCAAGATTTATTCTCCTTAAGTGACGCTAATGACTTAGAATTGGATTTCTTTGAAAATTTAATACATTTACAAACACATCGTCATGGCAGAGCTTTGCAAAAATTTTGTCAATATGCGAACAATTTAACGAAACCTCCACATGTGAGAACATTAACGCAAATCATTCTGCCTCTAGCTACAAACTACTTACTGAAAGAGTCATATGCTAGCAAAAATTCTCTAATAGATTCCGCTATCGAAACGGTTGGTGTGGTTTGTCAACTCTTACCTTGGCCGCAGTATTTAGCCATACTCAAGTATTATCTGATGAAAATGCGTACTTCGGCTGAATATCAAAAGCAATGCGTTCGTGTAGTAGTGCGTATTTTAGATGCTTTTCATTATGATTTGTCTCAAGGACAAATGGAAGATCAAGCGGTTTTGGAAAAATTGAAAAATGAACTGCAAGAAAGAAATAGAAGTATCGAAATGAAAAAAGCGGAGAAAGAAAGCAAGACAGACGTGGAGTGTGGTGGAGAAGAAACTGCAACAAATAAACGAGAAGAGAATACTGAAGACAACAATCAAACGTTAGCTGAGGATTTGGAAGATCAAGCTGAAGAATATGAAGAAACGGAATCGACCGCTGCGAAAAGTGAACTTGTTTTGCAACGCACGTTGCTTTTACCTGCAAATGCGTCGAAACGTGTATTGCATGTTATAATCACTGTGCTAATACCTACCTTAAATCGCTGCATTACCGAACAATCTGCATATGATCAGAAACATAAATTTAATCGCAAACGCTTAAGTGCCGAACGTGAAGAGGAAGAGATTCTCCGGGTACCCATCTCTCTTGCTATGGTTAAACTTTTGCAGAAATTACCTCAAAAACTACTGGACGCTAGTTTGCCGGGTGTGTTTATGAAAGTCTGCACCTTTTTAAGATCTCCTCTGAAGTCAGTGCGTATGTTAACGAGGGATATTCTTAAGAAAATTATGCTTTGCCTTGGCCCTAAGCATCTCGGAACGTTAATCGACCATCTGCAGACTTTGCTAACGAGAGGTTTTCAGGTGCATGTATTATCGGTTACCGTTCACGGAGTACTAGATGCGTTACGCGAGATGTTGCATCCGAGAGATGTAGAAAATTGCTTACACAATTTATTGCAAGTGTCTTTAAATGATATTTTCGGTGAGATTAGCATGGAAAAAGAAGTAGACAAGTTGGTGTCCCATACTCCGGAAGCGAAACCCAGCGCAAAGAGTTTTTTAGTTCTGCACATAATAGCGCGCAACATTGGCGAATCTTGTTTATTGGATTTGCTAATGCCTTTCAAGGATCTCTTAGCGCGCTCAAAGTCGCGTAAAGTGGTTTTGAAAATTCAAGAATGCTTTTCGAAAATTGTCAATGGCTTGGTAGAGAATGTTAATCTTTCGCGAGAAAGTCTTCTAATTTTTATTTACGGTACCATGTCGGAGAGCATTACTGAACTCTTACCAGGCACGCAGGCCCCCAAACTCAGTGAACAAGAGAAGAAGAAAATGCTTTTGGCAAGACCTGACTGCTTTATCATACCTCCTACCCCAAGTACGCGTTCCGGCGCAGTCAATCGGTCAGTGAAATCAAATAATCAAGCTAATGCTCACATCCTAATAGAATTCGGTTTGGAAATGCTACTGATAGTTTTAAAGCGCAAAAAATTGGTCAATATTGAGTATGAACCATTCTTAAATCCTCTATTACCTCTGCTGAGAGATTCATTGAAAAGTTCTCACATACGTGTAACAATATTTGCTTTAAAATGTTTTGCTAGTCTTTGGGTAGAGGAGTACAAACTACCAGCTACTATGGAAGCAGATGAACATTATCTTAAACTAGTAGTGGAACGTATTTTTGAAATTTTGAAAAATGTCTCGACTTTCAATGCCTCAAAGCAAGAGGATAATTTGCAATTGATTAAATCTTGCTTCAAAGCTATAGTGGCATTATTACGTAAATGTGATTACTACCAACTAACGGAAGACCAAATCGAACAGCTAGTGCTGCATGTAGAACAAGAATTACATGACGGAGAACAACAAAATTTGACGTTCAGTTTAATTAAAGCCATGCTGACGCGCAAAGTGGAATCCAAAGCAATGAATGATATTATGAAACGTATCGGGGAATTAACTATAATTTCCCATTCTGAGTACGTTAGAGATGAGGCCCGCCAATTAATGATTACATATGTGATGGAGTATCCGCTGCACAAGAAAATTGACCAAATTATCAAATTCTTTGCAGTGCAATTATGTTATTCCCTGCCGGCAGGACGTTTATCAGCTATAGCACTTCTAGAAAGCATTATCAAGAAATTTCCTTCGGTTATCCTCAACAAAAAAGCCGAATTCCTTTACCTATCTTTGGGTACCCGTTTAATTAACGACGAAGACCCTGAATGCCGCCGAGCGATTGCTGAGTGCTTGGAAATGCTTATAACTCGTTTGGAAAAATCTCAACGCCAACGTTTATTTGAAATGACTCTATTGTTTTTTGAATCCACAAACAAACCTTCCATAAGAGAAATGGCTGCTTGCCTCTGTTCAAGATTTTTAAACGCTGAAAAACGTCAATTTAGTGAAAGAATTAAAGTTCTTCTACCGTTGATACTTGGAAGAATAGTGTTAAATAACCCACAAGCCCCGGGTAGATTTGTGAAAGCCCCATGTCCCAGTCAAGCGATTGACAAACAACAGTCGAAGAAACGTCCGAAGCAGATTTGCAAGGTACTAATCAAATATACATTTATGATCTGAGTTTAATTCTGAGTTACTGTTTTTTCATTTCAAAAATGCAAGGACTCTGAAAACCTTTTGGATGATGAGGAAAAGGAAGAGGAAATTGCAGCTTTACAGCAAAAAGAATTGGATCATGAGCTAATACAAATGCAGTACTGCATTTTGAAAATGTTCGATTACTGTTCCACGGAAATGTTTAGCAGTGAAGAGCTATGCCGTCTTATCGACGAATTGGCATATGAAAGTCAAAGGCTTTTAAATCACGAACACATTTGGGTTAGATGTAATGCTGCCAAGATACTGACGCAAATTCTGAGTACCTATGATTATACATTAATTAGTCACAAATTGCAGCAATTATCGAATGAGCAAAATATATCGAATGATTGTAGATTGGATTTTATATATTTGAATCCTGAATATGACATTAAATCTTTAGTTCTCGATTTATGCGCTCAAGTAATTCCGGGTGACACCTGCGAAAACATGTTAGATGAAATTGTTAAAATATTACTGTACATAGCCACCATGTTAAAAGATGTCCCTTTCACCCTAACAAAGGAAGTTAAAGAAAATAATGGACTTGATGATGACTATGGAAATGTTAGAACGAAAATCAATTTAAACTGGTTAATACGTAATATACGTTATCTAATCAACAAGGAAGTAACAAGGGCTCCTCATAGCATCACAGTGGTAAGAACTAAGAGTTTTCAATTTTATATTTGCTAAAAGGCTTATATTAGAATTGTTTCGCTTGATTCTTGCATGCTTTCTTGTATCGACGTTTATATCCGTCCGCATATAGAAATAAAGTTTGCCTATCTTCATATCTATCAAGAAGCTTCAGAGGCCGTACAAAGTGAGTCCATTCTTTATCAGCGTTAAATTCCAAATCGATTTAAGCATGTCCGTCTGTTAGTATGATTGTTTATTTACTATCTGTTGTAAACATTGTTGTGGCTGGCAATTTTAAATGTATCGAAAGTTCGGAAGTCCGTGCTCGCAGTTTGGTAGTGAAAATAGTCCAACCCGATCGAAGCGCACGTCGACAATACCACGTAAACTGAGAATATCTCTTCTTCTGAAAAGGAATAAAGTGCCGGTTTTTCGATCATTACTAATAAACTATAGCAGATAAATCTGCAAAAATTTGAACTCATATTCTATTGGCGATGCTGCAGCATTTGTACACAGATGGGAGGAATAGACCACGCTTACACAATATTACAGTATATCAAAGTTTAATATTTGGCCAAAACTTTTATAGTGCGCAGAAGCAAACTTCAAAAACTCCATAAATTATATAAATTCTTGGTAAATTTCAAATTCGGAAGCACGTCCCCTTGTCTATCTGTCCAACTGTATCGTAGCTGTTGTATACATTCCTTCGTTTGGAAAGAAGAAGATATTGTCTACATATCTGTAAAATAGTTTGAAGATGACTCAAAGCGGTCAAAGGACATGCATACAACGTCCACACACCTAAGCAACAAAAATTCGCTTTCCGTTTGTTTTTGCTTGTTACTCATAACATACATCACACACGACAATATAAATTTCCACTTTTACTCCGAAAATAGGAAAGAATACCCGCGTCCATCCAAACTTGTTTTTCTCCTCTTCTTTAGCTTTTTATAGGACAACGGCAACGGGCATAAAAGCTTCGTTCGCAATCGCATATAATTTTCTTACTTGTTTTCCTTCAAGTTTCTTTATAGATTCTTTTCTAGTAGTTAATTATGTGCTGTAGCTAAAAAATAACGTCGTTTGCGAAAAAACACAGGTAGTGAAAATTTTTACCACAGATTATAAAAGACATCAGTGCAAAACCCGATAGGTATGAAAGGCAAACTTGGTCTTATTAGTGCAATAATTATATGAATTTATATTTGGTACTTCTCACTCTTAATCTTATTCATTATTAATAACAAAATCGTTCATTCATTCATTCATACATTTCCTAATCTGATATTGAAAAGGACTTTGTAGTGAATATCAAAGGAGTTCTCGCCCTAAAGCATATATAACTTTTTTATTTCTGTCCACTTTTTAATACTGGTTTTAATTATTCTTTTGATGCTGTTTAGCGTCTCGCTTTGTTTAAACTTATCGAAGGTCTTATCGCTCTTTTAACGACAGAGGCATTAGTGCGACTGGCACCTGCTGTGTTATCGTCTCTGGTGCGTGAAATGTCCGAAGCTGATCAAAACGTTGATCCGGGTTTACGTCAGTTCGCATTACACGTCGGCAGCCGCTTACGTAAGCGCATTGGATCCGAATTATATGATAAGTTGAGAACCGAAACACAATTGAAACTCATGGTACGAAGGGCAGAACGTAAAAAACTTTTGGCTCAGGAGAAAGTTCATGATCCTGTAAGGGCCTCCAAGCGGAAAGCAGCTGTAAAAGAACGGAAAAAGTCGGCTAAGAAATTGAAAACTATGATAGTGCGAGGGAAAGTAGCTGACGTTAAAGAAAAATTAAAAAAACGCAAACGAAAAGCTGAGGAGAATTTGTTTTGATCACATTTATGTGCACGAGTATGTGAAAAGATCAATGTACAGTAGAATTTAAGCAAAAAATGAATTCTAAGTTGAAATATTCTTCCTTAATTCTCTTACAATATATTTTGTTATTAGTTCTGTCTTTACATTTTAAATCTTTCTAAGTAGTGCCTGCGTAATGCTAAGGTTATTAACGAAAATCAGATTGTTCTGAACTTTCGTTCATTTTCGTTCATAATATACGAATGGTAGGCTTCGTTTGCTGTTTATGTTTACCAGATAACGCCTGGAACACGGATTAAATGGAACCATCTTTCTCCGACGCATTTTAACAATTTCGTATGGTGCATTGGAATGAATAGCGTGAACAAGCAAATAACACATTCGCTTTGGTTTTGCGAGCGAGTCTTTGGACCCATTGGCCCACTTTTAACACTAATCTACGAGCGATAGCTTCCAGGCAATAAACAGACAGAGAATAAAACGGAAGGACGGACAAATAAACATACTTAAAGGAATTCGGAATTTGATCCTGATGAAAAATATATATATGCCTTGCAAGATCTCTGAAGTTTGGTTCATGACGTTTCCAACAGTTTGATAAAAGATTGAAATTTCGAGATATTAAAATACTGGGGCCTGGCTAATTTATTTCATTTTTGCTTCTGGAGCTTCAGTCGTAGAACTTACGTGCAAATTTTTTGCTTCTGAGAATCGGGTCTTTTCACAAGTTTGGTATGTCAGTTGACCGATTTGCCACATTTTCAATACCAATCGGTGTACAAGAACTTCCAACGTCTGTGCCAAATTTGAAGCCAACATCTTCATTTTTCCGATCGCAAGAGTAATTACCATGGACAATAAGCAAAAAGGCAGACAGGCAAACGTACGCGCTTAAACCTTTTCAGAATTTGATGTTAATCAAGAACGTATATATACTTTACGGAGTTTCATAAAGTTACTTTACGGAGTGTCCTTCTGGATGTTGCAAACGTTTGGAAATTGCGGCCTATAGGGCGAACACAAGAGGACAAGACAGACAGACAGAAAGCTTGTCACTATTATTGCTGAATCGATTGGTCTAATAAAAAGTGGTTCTATCGCAAAAAATGTAGGTACATGGAACCTCATTATATAGATCTGTGACTTTGCTGAACAACGCGGGCCTTACTGCTTTATGCTTGATTAGCTATTTCGCCGTAAATACCAGGGCTCTTTCTGACTCCGGTAGCACACCAGAGATAACTCGTGAAATTTGGGCGAGGGTGGTTAGTTAGAACCAGAGCATCACCTCAAGTGTCTATCTTAAAAGGATTGAATTTCTTTTGGCTACATAGATTGGAAGAATACAGGTAGCTGAGTGTGCAAATTCAATTTTAGAAAGTATTGTATATCATATTCTTGGAGGCATCTAGCATATGTGTTAGTAGGTATCTTGACGACATTAGAATTGGACTGACAATTTTTGAAGGCGTCTTCGTAATGATTGCGAAACGTTACGCTAGCATTAACCGTCGCAACTAGCAGCAGAGGGTGCAAAACCCTTGGGAAATCGTTATAAGATAAAGGGGTGATATCGGCCGGAGAATAAGAGAGAGAAAGGAAACGAACGAGTCGCTACCAGATATACGTTTTTGCAGGAGGTGCAGATAATTTTTATTGTGTGCATCGGTCAAACTGGGAAAACCTGTAGGTGATGAGCACTAATGAAGCATACGTTTTGACTTTCTTCGTGGCAACCAAGTCTGAGAATAGCGTAGTGAGCTCAGAATTCCACTTTGCGAAACCATTCTCGTCAGGTTTTGGCGAGAGAGAACTAATGTCACAGAAATTCGCGGTTGCTTAGGAAGTATTTTGGATATCGAAGATCTTCGGTACCAGGGATATTTTGGGTCGCTTGTCAAGGAGGGGTTTGCGTGATATGAAATTATTGATTTTTTAGATACTGTTATTGCAGATGTCAAGTCTAATGGGCAAGTGGTGGCCCATTAATGGCCCCAGAAAATAATTTTCATTGCCTCAGTTAAAAGAGAAAATTGATGAGTTGGTGAAGTTGAGATCGAGAGTACTACTTGACATGAGGCGATTGACGGAAAACATGAAACCGTCATTAAAGCAACGAAAACTGCTAAAACTAATTAAATTAACGAGATCCTTGCCCAAGTTCAACGTTAGTGGGTTCCCATAGAGAGGATGCCTGGGATCGAAATCTCCGCCACGAAAAAAAAACTCGGAAATCCATTGAAGAAATCACATAGTCTCTATTTTTCGTCACGAAAAGTTCGTATGTGCGTATGTATTCGAAGCGGAAAGTAGACTGATACAATAACTACGTGTGGACGAAGGTTTGAAGATCTAATACTGATTACGTCCGCAGACAATACATATGAAATACGTCTGAATGATATACCTTTTCGCACTAGAACTGAGACACTGCCAAAGGTATCATCTCTGCATTTGGTGACAGCTGCATAATTGGGTAAGTTTTAGTTTGACACCGATTCATCAGAATCAAAAATTTTGCTGAGAATACAGACATCGATGTTATTGGAGTTCAGAAAAAAACCGAGAGAAGAACTATTTCGTCTGAATCTTTGTGTGTTGTATTGGAGAAAGGATGTCATATTGGGGTGAAGGACAACACCAAAAGACGAGGCGTAAGTATTCATTTTCTCAACGAACGAATCTGTCCGCTTTGTTTCACAAGCAGAGGACATTAGCTAGGAGTGGAGGGAATTGAAAGCCGTTTTTGTACCGTGAGGACTCTGGGCTGTGGGATGTTAGATTTGTTTATTATAATTCCGTTTCGTAAGGATCTTGTCGCTCTCTTGGTGAATGTCTCTAACGTTCTCACATGAAGAAGCTGGGGGGAGAGCAGGCAAGTTGCCGTCGTATTCGTTTGAATCAAGGGATTCATAATAGTCTTGAGAGTATTTTTCTCAGAAGTCTTTGAAGGAAATCTTTATCTTACTTGCTTCTTCTTATTTTTTCCTTGGCAGCCACGTTTTGCTGAGAGTACTGTGGATGGAAGAGGCACGCAGGATACACTTAGTGGTATTGCATTCTTTCGTGCATGCCGGGGAGCTTCCACGTTTAAGACAACGGGAGCTTTTAGTTTTGCAGAAATTCGCTAGGTGGCGAAAGCGACCACGTTTAAAGCGGAATGAAACACCTTCTTTTGTTTTATTTAATATTTTGAGCTATAAACAAATTACATTATGTATGTATGATACCATGCAATGCCCAATACCATAAACCTATATATATTACAAAAAAATTCGATCTAACTTAAATGTATCATATTTCTTTATTAGCATGAGATATTTCTCCTCGCTAGGCTGAGAGAGATATTTTAGAAATAATTGCATCGATTGTATTGATATAAATTATTACAGAATTATTGCAGAGATAACATATCATCAAAATGCAGTCGATTAAACCTAGCGTCCACATATCTTTGTATTCCACCTTTAGACACTGATGAAATTTGATACACTGACAAGTTTGACCCAAGGACAAATCCTATTGAAAATGGCCCGGGCCGGACCATTGTTTCGACCACATCCCATATAATGCCTTGTTTTCAAAAGTCGTTATGTGAAAAAACAAACATGTTATGAATACTAAGTAAAGCGATGGAGGGATTTTTAATCATCGATCGACTGTAATGATTTTCTCGCTTTCCGATTTCTCAAACAATACTTGTTGTTGTATGCCGCCAATATGAAAAATTTTGCAAAATGTAATACTTACTTGCCAATGTCAAAATTTTTGTTTATTTTTTGGTATGTTGAAACAGAGATGAACTAAGCCAATAGATTTGTGGCTTATATGTCCAATTTTTCAAGTTGTTGATTAACGGATTACGTCTGTTGGCGAGATAACGTGATGAAATGTTTCTATTTGTTGATCCTTTGC